ATAGATACATTATAAACAAGTATTCGCTTATTCTGATTGTTAAATTCAAAGAACACTTACATAAAAAAAAATTTAAAAAAGAGACGTGTTGTATGTTAAGAAGAAACATGTTTCGAAAGTTACCATAACAACTAAATATCTCACTCTCTAAAGTATGGAAGATCAGGTTGCGTAACCAATTTTCAGCTACAAAACACTATTTTTTCACGTAGTCACCATAATTGGCTATGTAATTTCGTCAGTACTGACCACGGACCTGTGCGTAACTCTCATAAAAATATGCACCAGCGGAGGCATCCCACTTTATCATTAAAATGAATTACCCACTGCTTAACTGTGCTCACATTCAATGTTTGGTCCCCGTAAGCGTTCATCAAGCAATCGATGTTGTTTTTATTTTTTTTGCAATGCCACATTTCTGTTTTGTATGCACGATCATGTCAGACGCCACTTTGCCACACTGCTTCTTTACCAGGGTTGACTGAAAAGTTCATGGGCTAACTATGAAGAGGTAATGCTGTAGCTGCAAAATCCTGCATGCATTAATTTTGACTTTTCTTATTAATAATCGCATTGTTTCTTTCCAAGTAAAATCACATCTGGCTGTTCAAAGAAGTTTGTTTATTCTGATGGTCAAAATATCATAAACAGCAAATATGACATCATCATCATCATCATCATCATCACCACGATACTGGTTAATAGCCAAGTATTTTTTCGTGTTGGGAAACAGAGGATAGTCAAATCAGGAGAATATGGAAGCTGATCAACCAGTTCAAATTAAAAGTCAAGCACAGCAACCATTGAAACCAAACGTGTGGTGGAGCATTGTCCTGGTGAAACAAGACCACTTTGATCAGTTTTCCTCGTTGTTTGGTCCTCATAACCTTTCGCAACTACCTCAGCAAGTTAGCATGGTACTCTCCATTGATGGTGTGGCTTTTTGAAAATAGTCTATAAAAACACAATGCCTTTTACATCCCAAAAAACATCACCTTTTCTGCAGATAAAACAGCCTTCTTTGAAGCAGGTGAGATGTTTCCATTGCATGAGTGTCTTTGTGATGAAACCAACACTCATCCTGAGTTAGGAAACGTTCAAAAAACCAGCTGGATCTGCCTCAAACAATGTCAGATTTTCCCGTGCTGTCATCAGCTTGGAGCGCTTTTGATCAGGTGTCAGAAGACGTGGTATCCACCGAGTAGAAACCTGGGTCATATCAAGTTTCTTATGTGGGATATTCTCAACTCTCTCATGGGATATACTAATAGCATTGGCTGTTTGATTTATAGTCCAGCAAGCGTGTGTCATTCGGTAAATGTGGTAAACATGATCAAAACATGTGGTAAACATGATCATGCAGAACGTTCAAACCTTGGGTCATCTTCAAGACTCTCCCGTCCCCTCCTAAATTCAGCTGCCCACTTTTGCACTGTTGATAAAGCTGGAGCGCCATCCCTTAATGTAGCAACCATGTTAGCATGAATGTCCTTAGGGGACTAAACCATTTTTCTGTATGTACTTGATGTCAATTTTTGTCTATTTTCAATAGAAGTCCGCTACTAGTTATTTTTGAAGTCTTCTTTGAACTAATTTTTATAAAAAGTGTTAAAATTAATACAAGATTTCACAGCACTAGCATCACTCATTCATCGTTAATCTATGAACTTTTCAGCCAATGCTCGTAGCTGCTATCAATAACAAATCATACAACCAACATCCTTCGTTTTATCAAATGCGTGAGTATATGTGCGTGCGCGCGCGTGTGTGTGTGTGTTTATGTGTGTGTGTGTTTATGTGTGTGAAGACGTGATATTTGAAAAAAAATGAAATTGACGTAGCATAAAAAACACAAAAATCTGTTGTAATAGAATGTTCCACACTCCCTATCGCCTATATCAGTAGATGTATATATAGTGAGCACAGGATATATCTGGGGCTAGCTTCGGGAATTACTAGCCTGCCACCCGATTCCCTGTCTTTCAGTAGTGTATTCTCTTTTGCAATAAACCTCTCTTTCTTTCATCTACACGCGTGTTACTGTTCCTTCATTCGAGTACCACCTTTGTCTGTTTGTAACTTCTTTAACGATACAACAAAATCTTTGACAATAGTGTGAGTTATTCCACTTGGCTTTGCTATAAAAACATTTCTTGTCGCTCCTTAAGCCTATAAAAAAGAATGCATTTATCTCTACAGCCATTTTCTCTTTTACAGCTTCTCAACCCTGGCATTAAATTGTAGCCGGACGTTCATTTTCATGATTTTCTCTCGTTACTTTTGTACTCTCGTACACATGCTATTTACGCGCGTGCGCGCACACACAGGCACAAGCATATTTTTATTATAGCTAGTTTCATGTTTTTTTTCTTTTCGTCACATGTAATTCTTTCTTTATTAATGTATGCATTGTCGTTTGTTACTTTTGTGTTTTTTCATGACCCCGTAAATTTTTATTATCTAAATCTTGATTACCGTAACATAATAGTAACTAAATATTTACCCAATCATATCAGCGATCCCGCAACAATGCCTTATGAAAACCAAATGTACTCAGACATCGGACGATATATCTAAGTTTTCACCGGAAACAAGGAAAATGGTTCCAAATATAAAACAATTAGAGACAGAAAACAGTTTTTAAACAATGCAGTGAACCTGGTTAATTTATAGCAGACCCCCTTGGAGGGGGCGCGATATAACATGGCCTGTGCGCCCCAATAACAGATAGATGTCACAAGAGGATCACTAACATTTTAAAAATAAAAGACATGAGATCTGACAGGTCAACAAGAGGACAACAAACTTAAAATTAATACAAAATTTATTTACATCGTATACAAAAGTATGTATTTGGATTAAAGGAACATGAACAAACAATGAATCAAGTAATGGAAGCAGTAGTAAGTAAATTGAAGAATACTGACTGGCTAGAAGATCTAGATACTATAACTGATAAAATGTTAAAAGTAGAGTCCATATAAGTTAAGTTGGCATGTAAGTCCACAGTCCGAAAGTTCAGTTCACATGTCCAGTGAAAATGTTGAAAAGTTGCTGGTTATGTCCAATGGTGAACCTTCCGTAGTATTTTAACCGAAGTGTACGGAATCGGTTATTTGAAGTCTGAATGTTGTAGCCAAAGAGAAGAAAGTTCAATTTAAATGTCCGGTGTTGGCGTTGTGTAGTTACTAGTTAAGTCCAGTGATGAACCTTCCGTAGTATTTTAACCGAAGTGTATGAAATAGGTTATTTGAAGTCTGGACGCTATGCATGCAGCAGTTTTCTAAATCAGGTGGCAGGAAAGCCGGAAGCAGAGACTTATGCGTAGCCGGAAGTTCAGGGGTGTTGTAAGCAGGTCCATTAACGCCGATCAGTCAGGTAAGTTAGGTTGCGATATAGATGTCAGAAGATGGGACCATGGTGTAGCCGGAAATTCTGTTGTATGCAGGTTTATCAATGCAGGTCAACCAGATGAGTAGAGTTGAAGTAAGGGCCGGAAGTAATGAAAGCCAAGTATATCCGAAGATAAGGGTCCATGGTAGCCGGAAATAATAAATGACAGGAATGTCGGAAGTATAGGTCCGAGGTAGCCGGATGTAATAAGGGCCATGAGTGCCGGAAAAAAGGGTCCGTGGTTGGCAAGAATGCATGAAGTTAGAATGGATAGGAAAGCCCAACTAGCATCCAGTTTGCAAAAGAAAAAATAAATGGGCACGTAATTCAAGACATAACCCGTCCAAGTCCCCTGGTCACAAAGACCAGGGTGCCTGCATTTCACGTCCTCCTTGTCCTCTCCGCTTTCGGCTAGAAGTCGCTGGGTTATATGATAAAGGAGTATAATAACATTTAACATTAACTGGTCCTGCAAAGTACTTAAAATCTCAAGAAAATAAATTCAGAGTTGCTACGAAGTATAAAAAGTATAAAAATGTTCACAAAGAGTATTCGGACTAAGTTCGTAATACTGAAACAACTAAAAAGACATGAGATTTATTATGAATCTAAATGAACTTCTTATATTAAATTGAAGGGAGTGCGGCAACGCAATGAAGAAAAGTCAAGGTCATGGATATATATAACGTCTGCCCTTGATCACGTGAACCGAGTAGCGAAGGGGCTACGATAAATTGCATTCAATTTCATTGCACTGTCACAAAATAAAAAAAAACTGCTTTGTTTCTATTTTGCTTCTAATTTCGTTCTATTTGTTTCCCTGGGAATTACTGAATATTTTGAATAAAATATCACTTTGCAACAGGTGTAAAACAGGTGTATAATATTATAAGTTATGTATAATTTGCTATAGCAAAAAGTTTACATCTTATCCGATTGAATGAATGGGTTTTATTTTTATCAAGATAAGCGTTGTACTGTTGATTAGTTAATAATAGTAACGTTTTTTCAAAACCAGACAGGACATGTTTTATTTTACAAAAAAAAACAAAAACAAAAAAAACAAAAACAAAAAAAAAAAAAAAAAAACAAAAAAAAAAAACAAAAACAAATGAGTCATAAGCAAAAACGCTTATCAGTAACTGAAAAAAATTCATGTAATGTCATGAGTAAAAAAACAAAACTTCTTAGTCAAAGGAAAAACAAAATTGAATTATTTTTAGTTACTTTTAACTAGGTCCACAGAAACACTCACACACACTGAGGAAAATTCAGTTATAAAAACACGAAAAATATTTTATATTTTTATATATAAAAACCTTCACGTTTTTCTTTGTTGTAGGTTGATTCAAATCAGCAACGAATCCACCTATTCTCCACCAGCTATGGGTAAGACTTGTTTCACTAAAACCATTATTATCTAAAAGAAAAAAAAATTGTGTACAAAATATTTAGATTTCAGTACAAAAAAAAACATTGTACATAATTTCTTATTAAAATACGAGGCCCACTTTCCAACCAGGCACGCAACAACCTCCTTAGTTACATTTTTCGTACTTTAAGGACGCTATTAGTACGGTTAAATTAATTTATCTTAAGGTGCATACCGTTGAAACACCGGTTCCCGTACGATCACCGAAGTTAAGCAATGCCGAGCCTACTCCTTATCTTGATGGGTAACCACTTGGAAATACCAGGTGTTGTAAACTTGGAGGTACGGCTCGGAATTGGGAAACGAAGAGCCGAATTCCAATTTTCGTTGGTTCGTTGTATTCACTTATGAGCCAATGCCCTTCGGAAAGGCATAAACCCACTTCTTTTCCTCCCAGCTATCAGTTAATTAGTAAGACTTGTATCACTAAAACCATTATCGAAAAAAAAAAGACTTCATTTGTTGTATGTAATGCATTTTCTTTGAATTTCGTTTCTTCCCCCAAAGTGCATAGTTATCGGTTGTTTCTGTTATATTCTTTGGGAGTAGTTAATCGTTTAAAAGTTTATATGCATTATGTTCTGCCATGGAAGTGCCATGGTTGCTTGTGAAATGTTGAGCGATATTGTCATTAAAGCAACTTTAAAATGTCCTTGTGTCACATTCGGTAGCTACGTGGGAACATTGAAAAATCAAGCTCTCGGTATACAAGTTAAACGACTATCTCTGGATTGAAAAAATACGAAGAAAATCACAATAATAATAGCGTCGTTGACTATAGAAAATACGTTATCCTTTGAAGCCCCCGACTTTGTGGAGGCCTGGCTTAAGATTTGCGGCAAGAGCTAGAACCAAAAAACTAAGAGACAATAATGAAAGGGGATGGAGAAAATTAAGTTTGGTCACAGCTACATATGAAGCTATAATGAAAGATTCAACAATGATTCACCCAGTGAAACTGGAAGATTTGACGAAATAAGTCAGATAATACAGAAAAAATATGACACCAATAGAGATTAGTAATTGCAGAGAGAGCAAACTTCATTCGAGTCTGTTCGTGATAATTGTCCTCAAAGAGGTAAAGTCTTTGCTTCCGGACAAATTGATGCACCGTATAACCTCTAACAAGTTTGTTTCTCTTGACTACTTGCTGTTCTGTACTAGTGTGTTAAATAAGTGTAATTCTTCTATCCCTTTCCTTTTCACTTAATTTGATATGTTAACATTTGCTGATAAAGCAGAATATTTTGCTTATAAATTATCTTCCAATTCGACCCTCAACTAATCTAGTGTATCTTTGCCTGACTTTCCGTCCATGGTTTCTGTTATCAACAAACCCTACAATAGTCATTAAGAAATGTGCTACTGAACAGACACATGTTCTTTATAAACTCTACAATAAATGCTTTACTACTTCTTGTTTTCCTGCTTGTTGGAAATCCTCTTCTGTAATTCCATTTTTTTAAGAATCCAAGCAAACCGCCCAATCCTTCTAACTATCGGTCTGTTAGTCTTCTACCCCCTTTTTGATAAAGTACTAGAAGTTCTAATTAACTCTGAATCGATTAAGCATCTCACCTCGCAGAGTTTTCTTTCAGATAAGCAATAGGACTTTCGCTTCTCTAGGACATCTGCTGATGTATTAATGATTATTGTTGAAAATTTTCGAGCTTTAGATAAGAATGGTAAAACTCGGGCTGTTGCTTTATATATCTCGAAGGAATTTGACAGGGTTTGGCATGTTGGTTTTCTTTACAAGTTGAAAGGTTATAGTATTTCTCGATGAAGTTTTGATCTGATGTCATCGGTTGTCAGCTTGATATCTCTGCTGATGATAGTTATTTACTCCTGTCTTAATAGTAAGTCTGATTAGTTTCATACAGTCAAACTGTCAGTTGATTTAAAAAATGACACGCAATCTGTTGTCGGCTGGGGCATGAAATGGCTTGTTAATTTTAACTCCTTCAAAACGAAATCGGTCAATGTAATGTCCTAAAAATAAATGCTTAATTGAGTAGACTTCTTTATTCTTTGACTATTTTGTTTGCCACAGAATTTTAGTTATTCTAAAAATGTGCCCTGAATTAAAAAAAAAAGGTTTAAGAATCTCTGCATTGAAGATGGTGAAATTTTGGTCTTGTTATTTATTATTATTTACTTATTTCTCTATCATCACAAGGACATTTGTATGCGGTGTACTACGTCGTGTTGCGTTCAATGCGACTTGTGGTCCGCTAGTGAATAACAAGTTCTCTACAGGAGGGAATGAGACATTTCTTACCTCTAAAGCTGGTAGAGAGAAGAAAAGAGAATGAGAGTTTTGTGCCCTTTATTTTATATACTTTTTGAAAAAGCTATCTAAAGGTTCTTTAACAGATAAGATGGATAATTTAGCAATCTCGGCATGCTGTGGAATAATTCATGTAAAAACTGAGTATATCATGTAATTTGCGCAAATTCTTCATAGTTTGGGAAAATGGAAATTATCTAGTAGCTTCAATTCTTTCAGATAAAAAGATTTAATGCCATGCGCAAATCTCCTAAGATCCAGAAGACACACCTCAGATAAGCCAAATTGGTATTTAACATTGTTCGCAACGACATCGGGTTTCTTAAATCTTTGAAACACTGCCTGAAAAATGATGTTTGTGTTTTACGGATAAGTATAAGTTATAAGGACATACAATATAGTATAACAGAAAGCCTAATCCAAACCTTATAGAATGTAATTCTGTATTGCCTTTTAAAGACTAAACAGAATTTGTAAGAATTCAAATAACCCAAAAGTTGTGATAGTTGTCTATTATATGACTAACATATTTACAAGTATCTGACAACATACATGGATCAAAACAATTTTGAAATAAAAGAAAATACCGGATAATTAACTTGTGAAGTGGAACTTATGGGTTCAAATGAAGAGTTGATTTACCCACACCAAGAAGATTAACAAAGGATGATAATGACGAAGAACTACAAAAGTAATTTTAACAAAATAAGATAAGGAATTTATTCACGCATTTACACGCTTGAAGTAGTGTCAGTAGATCGTTTGATGAAAATAATTCAGAATTCTTTAAGTCTGTAGTCTGTGTGTTTATGTTCATACAATAGATTAAATGATCTGACACAAAATAATATTAAAATATTTCAGACAAAGGTAAAAGAGCTCGTTACTCACCAAACCAATATGGTTGCATATGTTCAAAAGTAGACGAAGAGAGATAGTTTGAAATACTTAGCTTTCTTGGATTGTTGAGAGAAAATTCCTTGAAGTGCAACGTGTTGATTAGAGGCCGATAATATAACTGACGAGTAATTTTGTACTGGCGAGTACTTCAACTCTGACCGCGAGGAACTGAAACGAAACCCTCCATATGACTTCAGACACGTTTCTCATTAATATAAGTTTTCTCCTCATTTTAGATAAAAAGAATTTCGTGTAGGCTTTCTTTCCTTCTTTTTGGCTGACCGGCTACTTTCTGTGAAGGCAAGGTTTTCAAATAATTCACAGAAGCTCACAATTTTTTTCTTCCTTTTTCATCAGTCCTTCGAAATTGAAGGGAGTATGTGAAGGGAATTAGTATTGTTGCGTTGCAGCTCAGACCAGACACTAGGTTTATTGACAGGATGCAGTTTCTTCTCGTCAAACACTTGTGGCTTAAAAATTACTCTTCGGCTAGATCGTTACCCACGGGTGAAGAATAAAACAATTTCTAGCAGTAAACCAGATTTTATTCTTAGGTAGTAACTTACTGCTATAAGCAAGCGAGGTAGGGTTGAGGCATAAGTGAGGGGGACGCAGTTCAGTGGTCATTGTTTATGTTATGAAAAGCCCACTTCCTTCTTTCTGTCTGCCTTTGCGCAGGACGGTCACTTTTACAGGTAACAGTTTTCTTTGTCTTGTCATCTTCGTCTAAAAAAGTAATTAATCTTCCGTCACTTTCTCTAAATCTGAGCCTCTTGCTTTTGTACCTAGAAGTTGATTCCAATTACTGATAGCCATCGGTCGAAAGTAAATGTTCCGTTTCGAGTTGTGTGACATGTCTCGCTGTTTTAAGTTTAACAACACCCGTATTGTTACATATTTCGCACCAACTACAAAGTCCTAAATGTTTGAAAGTTGGTGAGGATTCGGTGCAGTGACATAGTTTTAATCCCCACAGTGTCTACAAGAAGAAGATTTCTTTTTTGGTGCTAAATGTAGTTGCGAAGATCCGTTACTATGAAAGAATTACTCCTAGATTCATTAAATGTTGAAATTCTTGTTTCATAATTTTGTGTGTATCTGAGACAAGACGACCATGAAAAGAATAGACGGTTGAACCAGAATTTTCGAATCCATTATTAACATTAGGTTTAAGTGCAGGTGTATTAAAAATAAGCTTAATTATATCACGAAATTCAGATATTATCTGTGAGAATTAAAAGTCTATTCTGTTGCTGTGAAATTTAAGAATTAAATCAAACCAGAGAAAAAATAAAAGATAATATTGTCTCCAACAGAAAGTCAGCAGTAGATTTGGTCACAAAAGTTAAAAGATAGAAATGAGAGTTTTACTGGCGATTCTGTGCTAGGACTGTGCGAAGACTGATCGTCGGCAGTCAGTATTAGTTCTTTGATCTTTTCCGTGATAGCAAAAATTGTCTGCAAGTGAACTGAACTGGCGATACAAACCGGCCCCTTCATTTATATAGGTAGGCGGCCTCTTTAAGAAAGCTATCGCCATTTCCAGTATCTTCTAGATAAAAAGGAGACATTTTCCCACTTTCTTTTTTATTCTAGAACCAACTCAAATGAAATGGATCATTCTATTATAACATATCTTCACCAATCGCAATACGTGTGACATGTCGTAGTAATTCCCGTTTTTAGTATTTCCTCAAAAGGCCTTCTGTAACACGTCACTTAACATACACAGATTAGCATGGAGCCTTTATGTTATTTTCTTCGTGGGATTGCTGGCTAAGTGCTCATCTGGCCCATGCGTTAAGGTGGCTCTGACTCAATGTTAATGCCCCTAAAACTTAATTCATAGGCTTCAACCAGCAATGCACAATATAAATTTTCTCAGGTGAATCGATAAAATATGTTGAATATTTTAGATACCTAGGAAGCAAGATAAATTTTACTGAAAAAGATGCGAAAATTCGCATAGCTAATGCTTGGGCTGCCTTGAATAAAATAAAATGGATGTAATATTAATGGAAATCTGACCTACCAGACAACCTCAAGCAGAGATTCTTTCACGATACCTAAACCTATGGTCAAGT